TAGGTGATGTGACTTGATGTGCCACCAAAGACAAGCAAGCCACCATGGGCATTCTTCCCCGCTGGCAATTGTTCTTGTTCTCACGAGCTATGCTGGCTATGCTCTCTCTAAGGCAAGGTGGCAGACACAGGCATGTCGAAGGCGATTCTGAAGTCGAAAGTACCGGAGCCAGAATGGCAAAATTGGAATCTTGCTTTGGACCTACTTGGGGTCCAAGGGAAGGTGGACAAGGACCGAGATGGGTCCGAGATGGGTCCGAGATGGGTCATGGGTCCGATGCTCTCGATGAATTACTTCGTTGAAGAGCAACGCTCCGTTTCTCTTGTTTTGATCTCTTCGGCTGCGGTGACTCATTGTGCTTGCACCAACGTAAAGAGAGTAACGTGACCTGCCCTTCTACAGGTTGCCCGAGTCAAAGGCAGGAACAAAGAGTTCTTGGTCCAGCTGCATGGATTTGCCCTTGCCCTTATCAATTCGCATGGCATCATGCCCACAACGAAGGGAAAGAAGAGGATCGATCCTCCTGGTTGATTCACCAGAACGGCATGACCATCCAGCCTGTCACCAGAACCCGGTTTTCGGATGGATCGCTAGGGTTTGGTTGGTTGGGCTTGGCTTTGGCTTGTTTCGGGTTTGGGGTTTGGTTGGTTTGGCTTTTGTTTTGGCATTGCTTTGGTTGTGTATGGCTTGGTCTTGGCGTGTTTAGGCTTTGGTTGGTTTGACTTGGGTTGTGTTTGTTTCGGGTATGGTTTTGCAACTGTGGGTCTTTTCCCAACCACCCGACCTAGCTCATCCCTCTTGGACGTGAATTGTTTGAGGTAGCTGCCTCAAAGACGAAACATATATCTCCAGTGAAATCGGATTCGGCAGCGACTTTCGGTTTTGAAGTCTTCGGCCCTGAGATTCGATCCGCTTTGAGCGCAAAAAGCAAGCGCGCGCCAAGTCCTGCGAATGGCAGGAAGCCATCTTGAAGACGAGGATGCTTTGCCCGGAAGTGGCTGATTTCCTTTGCCTCCACATGGCCGCAGAGAGTGCTTTCTCAAGGCCACCCGTTCGATCATCATGGCTTGAACAGGTGGTTTTAGCCGTCAACAAGGATACCCACACCCGATCTTGACCACATAAAGGGTATAAGAGGGTATAAGATGGTATAAGATCAGACAGATGAGATCACTGCCAGCTGGAAACCAAGAGCAGTGTTGGTGAATAGAGTTGGGCCTTGTGGAGATGAGCATTCTTTGCAATTCTTTGGCACATTCAATTTGGACGGAATCCAAATTGCTTCGGAATGCCTTTCCAGAGAGACCAGCGGAAATCCCAGGCCAACTCCCATGGTCCTTTTCTCATCCTCGCGCGTGTCAGGGATGGTGTTCTGCAAATGATGTCGGAGTTGAAGGACTTCCGACCACGTACCTGAAGGTCGATTTGCAGAATGAATCTGAATCTGTGCCAATGTCTCATAGACTTCGAGTGTGCTCATGGTTTTCCACGAGGTGTGGAAGGATGTGCACAGGTGTGGAACATGGGTCCGTTTCTTGGGGGATTTCTGGGGTACCAGTTTTTTTTGGAAAGGAGCAACACTTGCCACCTCAGTTGGTATCGACCGTATTTCCACACCCACGAACTTAAAAACCTGTGCTTCGCCTAGAGGCGAATGACTCTTTAGCAGGCTGGTCGGTGGAAACCGCAAGAGAAGCTGCTGCCGCTCAAGCAATCCCACACAAGGACCACTAGGAACCTGAACCAAGCCACAACTTGTTTCTGCTTCTCTGTATATATCTGACCGGCAACCTAAAATTGTTAGGGCTGAGCACAGATGATAGGCCGCACACCATTCAGCCCTAAAGTCTGTCGACAGAGGTTGAGGGAGATCGGCAGCATGGGTTGTCTTTCGTTGAAAGTGATGAGATGCCAACGAGCAGTGAGGTATCCACCAGGCTTCTACTCATTCTACTCCCTCACAGGGAGTTGCTAACGTGAATGAGTGACAGAAGTGAATCTCTTGCTTGGCCAATTTGCCGGTCTTGCCGCTAAGGTGCTCAACTGCAAGAACTCAAAATCAGATTCAACAACGACCAAGACCCACGACCGCAAAATCTTGGTACCAATTGTTGGGATGTGGGATCAGAGTCGAAGCAACCTGCAGAGAATGATGCCCATCGACCGACCCAAACAGCTTACTGTTAGAGTTTCTCAATTCCTTCTTAAGATGTGTCCGCCCTTTCTGTCACTGCTGGTGTCCGCCTTTTCCGCTGGCCATGCAGCAATTCTATTCATTTGTCTCCCAGGTGACTCTCTCAGGTGATTTCTTTACTTTTGTCTCCCAGGTTCGGTGCCTGTACTGCTGGTGTCCGCCCTTTTCCGCTGGCCATGCAAATCTTTTTTAATTTGTCTTCCAGGTGACTTCTTTGCTTTTGTCTGCCAGGTTCGGTGCCTGTACTGCTGGTGTCCGCCCTTTTCCGCTGGCCATGCAAATCTTTTTTAATTTGTCTTCCAGGTGACTTCTTTGCTTTTGTCTGCCAGGTTCGGTGCCTGCACTGCTGGTGTCCCCCCTTTTCCGCTGGCCATGCAGCATTTCTATTCATTTGTCAGTCAGGTGATTTCTCTACTTCCCCAAACAGGTTACTGTTAGGGGTTCTCAATGCTTTCTAAGGGTGTCCGCCTTGCTGCGTCAGGCTTGTCACCCTCTGTCTCCCTTCTTGTTGGTCATTGTGTCCGCCTGGTCTCCCTCCTGTCTCCCTGTGTCTCCGGTCTTGTCTCCCTTCTTGTTGGTCACTGTGCCTCCCTTGTTGTTGGTCATTGTGTCCGCCTTGTCTCCCTCCTGTCTCCCTTTGTCCCCGGTCTTGTCTCCCTTCTTGTTGGTCACTGTGTCCACCATGTCTCCCTTCTGTCTCCTTTTGTTTCCCTTCTTGTCTCCCTTCTTGTTGGTCACTGTGTCCGCCTTGTCTCCCTTCTGTCTCCCTTTGTCTCCAGTCTTGTCTGCCTTCTTGTTGGTCACTGTGTCCGCCTTGTCTGCCTTCTGTTTCCCTTTGTCTCCCTTCTTGTCTGAGGCGGACACAGCAGCCCAGAGCTGGAGACAAATGTAAAGGATTGCAAGGCAGAGGCGGACACAGCAGCTCAGAGCTGGGTGACAAACGTGACTGCAAGGCAGAGGCGGATACAGCAGCTGAGAGAGATGTACAGGATTGCAAGCGAGAGGCGGGCAGAGCAGTCCAGAGCTAATGTGAAGGATTGCAAGGCAGAGGCGGACAGAGCAGCCCAGAGCTGGGAGACACTGGAAAGGATTGCGAGGCAGAGGTGGACACAGCAGTGCAGAGCTGGCGGGCACATGTAAAGGACTCTCCGGTCTTGTCCTCTGGGCTGCTGTGTCCTCCTCTGCCTTGCAATCCTTTACATGTGCCTCCCAACTCTGAACTCCTCTCTCCCCCTCTCGCTTGAGACCCTTCACATTTGTCTCCCAGCTCTGGACAGCTCTGCCCTGCAATCCTTTACATTTGTCTCCCAGCTCTGGGCATGTCGCTTGCAATCTGTGCATTGCAATCCTTAATTTACAGTTGACCCCCAGCTCTGACTGCTGTGTCCGCCTCTGCCTTGCAATCCTTTGTCTCCCAGCTCTGGACGTCGCAAGCTCTAGTTGCAGAGTGTTCCGCTTTTGAAAAGCACGAACTGTTTGGGGTCTACGGTGTAATTTGTCAACACTTTCTTTGGTGCCTCGGTCCTCCCATCCAACGTGTTTTTTCGAGTTTTTTTGGTTCCTTTTCACTTGACGCTGTGAGCATTCGTTGTGCTCACATGATATCGGTCGCATTCCTTGGGCTGAGTGGTTAGGCCTTGTGTTGTCTGCCTCACAGTTTCGCCCCGAGAATTCAGTGACCGGATGAGTGACATGTCCAACAGCATATTGAATGGCTGCTTGCGTCCCAGTAAACCAGCAGCAGTCGACAAAAGAGTATCATCATCCCTCTTTTTGAGAAAGGCTTGCAACCGAAGGATATACATATGAAAATGCATTGTGGTTTGTGTCCAAGATTTAAACAGCAGAGTTGGACCATGAAGATTGACATTGAACAAGAACGAAGGTTGCGAAAGGGTTTCAAATTGGAATGTCATTGCCGGTCACTGGACACCATTCTTTTCGGAGCAGATCTTGCCGATCTTGCCCCTTCCGTTGAAGGCCGATTCCCAATTGTTGGGATTTCTCTTTTCTGCGGGCTTTTGGAGCCCTGCAAACAGGGAACATGTAATGTAGATAGATGAAGATGCGGCCACCAGTTGGAACTGGAGCTTCAACGATTTACCAAGGGTTGCAAGACCTCAAGAATGTATAGATCCGTTAAGATTATTGTAGAAGGAATTCTCAGTTCAAACAACATTATGGCGTTGGATGAACATTTGCATGATGTAAAGCTTGAAACAAACCATGTAGCTACTCAATTTGCTCAGGAACACCGCATCTTCTGCAGGATCGGCATCGAAAAGAGCCGAACCTTTTAATATACATGGAGTTCAGGACATTTCCGAAACGAACGCTTTCGAAGATCGGGTGTGGGAAATAACACAGCTCGAGGCGGAAGCAAGGCATGGCCATTGCATCGAATGAACAGAATGTCGATACCTTGTTTGTCGTGTGTTTGCTTTTGACCATAAACGCATGGTGGCCATTTCGTTCGGATCTTTTCGACTCACTTACTGCATCGCCAGCTTCGCAGACGTGCTCGGTGCGAAGAACGGTGGAAATCACGCCGTTCCGTTGTCGACTTCAGATTTGCAGCATATCCGTGTACGGCATATCGGTGTACGGATTGCGGCAAGAGTTGAGTTATGGGGTCGTTTGGTAGAGGAGGCCCCCGACGTCGCAACATGTGGTCGTCCAGTCTCAAGGAATGAGGGAAGCTTCAGCCCCGATTCCTTTGGATCATTTTGGATCTAAATTCCCTACTAAGCACGAGTCAGAGAAAGCTCTTGGCCAAGCACTGGATCCCAGTTGTGGACCAATCCAGGTGGTCTTTGCAGATGCGGCGGCGCACAAGGACGGTCCAGATGGGGGGAGTTGCCTCACTGAGCTAGTTCAAAGAAAGGTCTAGAGTCTAGAACAAAGAAGGACAGCTCTAAAGCAAAAGAGTGCTCTAGAGCTGTCTTTAGAGCCGTCCTTCTTTTTTTTTTTGATTCTATAGTTTAGAGCAAAAATCAAGAAGGACGGCTCTAAAGGAACACATTCCAAAAGGAAGAGGACCTCTGGTAGAAGACTTGGATCGGCATTTTTCCTTGCTTATCTACGTGGAAGTTTGTGTGCCACCTTGTGTTCTTGGGTTTGTTGTTCGCAACGGAGGGCATAAACTTGAAAATTGCCGAAGCCTTGGAAATTCGAACTTCGCTTTTGGGTTTGGAGGTTTCACTCTCAATTACCTTAGGCTCAATTACCTTAGGCAATGGATGAAGCTGCACTCTGATGAGCTATATTCCAAACAACAACTCAAAGTATGAGAGGGAGCAAGTGACTGATCGTCGGGCAAATTGAAACTCCAGGCCCTTTGAAGATACAATGCTTGTTGTTTTGGCCTGTGTTGGGTAGATTGTCTTTCAGTGAGGAGTGGAGGACAAATCTTACTCTTAGCTTCCGAATCTCAGCAAAGAAAGGGTTCTTTCAGTCTCCTCTCATGGATATTCCACAGTTTCCTCCATTGGTTCTGGAGCCGTTGTGGAGACCAAGAGTGCCGAAGTGTGTTCTCTGAGTTCTGAGCAGATGGTGGTGCTGGAGGTGGCACAAAGATCTTTGGAAACAAGAAGAAGCAAGAAAGAGTTGCCATTGGACGCCTTGTTTTGCTTCGTGTTTTGCTCCACATTTTTCAAATTTTTGGGATCTGAAAGGAAGACTGCTCTCCGAGAGTTGGTTCGTGATGAACGACACAGGACTATCTCCTCATGCTTGGCGCACGTGAGTTCCCAGCGCCTTGGTGGAAACCGCAACCGATGTGTGTTGTCTTTTTTTCCTGTGAAGCCTTAAGGCCAAAGATGGGGGGCGTTCGAATGCGTTTGGACCCAACTTTGGTTGCTGTTTTGCGTTTTTCTTACTTCATCTTCCTTTAGTTAGTGGTTGGCTCCTTTTCCTGGAGTGCAAGCTTCCAACTGAGACCCGTTCGTGTGCCACCGTGGGCACGCATTTTTCTCCGCTACACGTCACATGTCCGGGGTGACCCTTTGGACGATGGCAGGTCGACGTCCCATGAAACTGTGCAGATGCGGTGCAAATGGGTGTGCATTGAAATAGGGAGACCTCCAGTTGGGCCAGGGGGTCTCGGTTGAACTTCGTGAAGGGCAAATCTTTGACCTCTTTGACTGCCCCAAGCATTCCTCCGGGCCACACCGAGGGAAGCTCAGCTCGAGCGTTTGTCGCCGAATCCCAGGTCTTCCTCCTGCAGAAAGGCACGCTGAGCGCCATCGAGGTCGGGGAGATTGAGACGAGTCTTGGCTGAAAAGCGAGGGATGCGGATGGAGTTCTTACGGATGCGGAGTCCTGCGGAGTCTGGTGGCTCCTGGCATCGCTACTAGGAGCAAGAAGCTATGAATGGGGCTCCTGGCCGTACTACTGGGAGCAAGGACGCTACTACAGGCCCCCATCTCGTCGCCCCCCTTGGCTCTCGCTTGCAGCGTTGGCAGGTGGGCCTTGCCATTGGAATCTCCCATCCGTCCTGAAGCCATCATCTCCTGGATGGACCAGGCAGGGAACAGACACAGTCGGTCACGGTGTGGACAGGCTTCCGCGAGGAGTCGGTGCTGATGCGAGGACTTGGACGAACACGGAGATGTTCGTCGAGAGCCACCGTGGTCGGTCTTCGGAGAGAGGTGCGAGACCACAGTTATTGTGCCTCAACTTTGAAGTGCAAGACATTTGTCATTTGTGAGACATCCTTGGGTAATCCACATGCAGCGTGCTCGTTTGTAGACTCATCTCATGCCTTCTGGTTCTCAATTTTCACATCGTCATGGTTTGCCCATGAGGCTTTCATGATCTGTGGCCGCGCACCGAACAGACATGTCGCTGCGCAGCGCATGTTTACATGTGTTCTTTTAATCGATTTCGCGGGGATGAAGGTATCAGATGCATTCCTATCCGGAAAGATCAAATCTGATCTTGCACCAGATTCCGTCTTCCGATCCGTCTTTCGGATTGGCACACCCGTTTTGCCACACCATGCCGCCACTTCACTTCAGCCGTTCGGCTCGGTTTCCGGAATCCACTCCCTGCAGGTGCTGCCAAGGCTCGGTGTCGCAGCTTGACCAGTCCACGTCCCCGGCCGGAGCGGAACCAGCGAACAGAAAGAGTCGACCGATGGGTGGACCAACGGAAAGCAGTGCATGTTCAGTCTGCGGTACGGTGAGAGGGTATCCAGGATCATGTGAATCATGTGCACTGACCCATGTACGCTAACCTGAAGTGCCAAAACATCTCCCCGAAACCCTTGCCTTTGGAATGATGTGGAGCGTGCCCAACCGTGGGTCTGCAGCCAAGCGAAAGGTTCACTCCATTTGCAGAAGGGCCAATGTGGAGATCTTTATTGACTTTATTGTTTCCGTTTTCACTCTAATGTCATTGGCTTGTCTAACAGGGTCTTCACTTGCCACCTGGTGCGCTGAGCTGAAGGAAGAATCTAGGCCTGGCCGAGACTGGTTGAAGTCTGCCGAGGGACCCGAGCCAAGCTGCAAGCACCCAAGCGGACTTGCCAAGAAGACTTTTCCTGTCAAACACACAACACACACAAGCAAAAGTACACACACACACAGAGAGAAGCACACAGAAGCACACAGAAGCACACAGAGCACAAGCAAGCACACAGAAGCAGTAGGGTCTTGGCCAGCTTGGTCAGCTGTTCATTGGGAACACCAAGTGGCGGAGTCCGGTCCCGCGACCATGGGTCCCAAGTGGCGGACGTGGGCCAAGGCGGCTTGGCTCGGGGGCGACTTGATTGGTTGCAGGTTTGAAGGTTGAAATCATGGCATGAAGGTCAAGATCATGTTGTGTTTTCTTGGTTGAGTGCTGAAGGTGAAGATGCTTCTAGACTTCTAGACTTGAGATCGCATGTTTGGTTGCAGTGTTCATGTGGCAAATCCAGACATTTTTCCGGATGGGCTTCGGGTGTCGCCTGGCTTGGTCTGCTTGGAACGCACCTCCTATACCAGGATTGAAGGGTCCATCATTGGTGATCTTTGTATCTCTTTGTTCATTCTATGAATTCCATGCATTTCTGACGGCTTTTGGTGAGACAAACAACCTCACTTTCCTTTTTGTCCCTCTCAACAGTTATAGCATTAGCAGCGCTAGCAGCTCACCCGCACCATCCCAGGATCTGTTGTGCAGCTTTCCGATGTAAGAACTCTTGGGGGATCTGAAGCCGGTGAGCATGGCTGTTCACACCTGTCTTTCTCCTCGGTGAGGCTGCCTGGGTGGCGGTACCACCCTTGATCTTCATGAAGGCCCGGATGATCCGGGGTACAGACACAGTAGAGGTCTCCCAGGTCTCCCCACCGTGGAGGTGCGAGCCGGGTACAGGTTTCCTTAGGCAACAACTCCACTCCTCAAGGCGAAAGCTCCGATCTCTCAGCAAGGAGCCACACACAAGGATTTTGGCATTGCTGGCTTATTTTTGATCTATCAGCCGCCCTGTTCCTCCAGCCAACACATGATGACACGCTGTAAATATGTCGTGTCATGAGATGCCGAGGATTGACCGGATGTTTTGTTTTCTTTGGGTGCAACAGTAGTTTGTGAGGTTTGGAAGGCCTCCCGTAGAAGGTGAAAGCTGAGGCCAGCTCCTGCCACTCAAGCAGGGGCGAACAAGGTATGGCCAGTTCCCTCGAAGGCAACCATGCCACCCTCCAACTGGAAGGTTGTTCTCAACTTGATTTTCTTGGACATATAAGTACAGATGAGGGCATGAGACGAGCTTCTGTTTCAACGCAGCTCCGGCTCAACAAGTGAGTTTTTTGGCGTGTTGCATTCAGTTTTTCTGACAAACACGACCTTGCAAAGCCTGAAAACAGTGCGGAAGAGCCCGAGTCTTTATATAGATACTATTATATATATATAATATATATATATAATAGTATACATATATATATATATATACACCTAATCATTCCAAGCACCATTGGCACCATTGATTCAATAAGCTTTGCCAAACAACCATTGTTTTACTAAGGACTTTACACTACAACACCAGATCAACCATTTTAAACATGGTCTTGGACTCCCAGGGTGTATATATATATATAGATACACACATGTTTGTGAATTACTCATTTACAGTAAGTTATATATATATATATATATATATATAACTGGGTGATCGCCAGTCCACACTGAGGACCGCTGGATGTGGGTCTACTGCGTGGAGGGTCGGAGCATGACTCCCACCCTGAACCCGCAGGCCAGGATCTGCGATCAGCTGCCCCTGGAGGTAGATCCTTTTTTGGTTTTGCAAATCGAGACGCTTTTCGTTTTGAGCTGTTGGCTTTTTGAGACGCCGCTAAAGGCTGACGCCTGTTTCATTGTTTGACTCCTTGGCCGACCCATTCGCCTTCTCTGTGCGACACCGAAGCTGCGAAGACCTGGCTCTTCAGCCGCCGTCGGCTCCTCTCGTCCCGTTCGGTCATCGCCGACCTCGTCTCGTTGCACGTCGAGGAGTCGTTGGTGGATCGATGCTTTCGAGACTATGTGCTGGTGCACCGGTCGCTGAGTCCCAAGGGTGGAGCGTGGCCGCGCGGAGCGCGTGCTGAACCGACCGGGTGCGGTGCCCGGTCAGTTCGGAAGAGCTATAAGGACCACGTCGGTTCTCCGACAGGTCTTTTTTGGAGTTCCTGAGGACTTGCTCAATACATTCAATACATTCATGTAAGGTCAAGCTTGGGGCTTTTTGGGGCCTATGGAGATGCCGTTGGGAGGGAAAACCATGACTTGTGAAACTGGCCAGCAAAGCACTGACACAGTGAGGAGTCACAAAGGGAAGAAAGGAAGCTCAAAAGTTTAAAGGTCTACAGAGTCATTCCCTTCGCAAATACTAGATCCTTTGGACCCTTGGTCTACAGAGTCGAATGAAATCATTAGAAAGAAACATTGACGAGTCGTCCTGTGGGACCCGTCCGATTTCGGGACACGTGCGACGTGCCGTGTCGACACCAGGAATGCCGAGCTGCGGAAGGGCGACATCGTGTTGCTTCGGGCCCGGGCGGTCGAGTTGAGCTCACATCGGGTTCGGTCGCGATGAGAGGGAGTATAGGCGCAAGTGAAACAAATTGGTTCAGACTTCTAAGACTAGAATCTACCCAAGGACGCTACGATCGGGGCTCCTGGCCTTACTACTAGGAACAAGGTTCGCTACTGTTAGGGGCTCCTGGCATCGCTACCGAACAGAGCGATCGGACGCTACGAATGGGGCTCCTGATCGGCTTCCCCGTTGGAAACACCGAGAGCTCCCAGGATCCAGGCACCAATGAGCTCATCGTGAAGCGACTCGTGGCCCAAGAACGTGAGGCACGTGGGCACGAGTGGCACGTGGCACGGCGCAGCAACGGCCATGGTGTTTGGTCTGGTGCCCCCCTTCACATAGATAGATAGATAGATAGATAGATAGAATCATATGCCTGTATAAAAAGACTTACACACATACATAGCCCATAGCACACCCCAACTGTGCAGCAGCCGATTGTCCCATGTGTGTTTTAAGAATTGGATCCTAAGGAAGGACTGCGGCTCCAAATACGGCTCACTCCACAGCTGGTACAAGGACCATTTGACCTCATGGATGAAGTTGCAATCTTGGTCATGTTCGACCGAAACCAGCAGTTATACTGTATCCACAACATGGGGAGATGCCAACATGGGCTGTGGTTCCGCCCGCTTCGTGCGAGCGGATTCCCGTGCTCGAGGTCGTCTCCGCGCACTCGGGACGCCTCTTCGTGCCCGAGGGTCATTGCTGGGCCACGTGGCAGAAGGGCGGCATCAACGCGTCCGTTGGGGTGAAGCCTCAGAGCCTTCCATGATTTTCCGAAGAAAAGGAGCAGATCAGATGGTCATAGTTAGAAGTTAGGACTGGGACTCACTGGAAAGTTCAAACTTGCCAATCACGGGTCCATTAGTCCAGGGAAGAAAACTACTGCACCCAACAGGGTGGTGGTTGCCATCTTCCTAAACAAATCCATTGCAAAGAAGGAGCTGTTCACCCTGACGCTTACTCAAGCAAGATGGTCACCCGCACAAATCAACAAGGCGGCAACCCCTTTTTTTTCATTCAGATGGCTTTTGACTTCCGAACTGGAAGTTGGATTCCAAATGACTCATCTCCGATTTCAACCTTGGGGCACCGATCTTTTCCAGTGGATCTGAAGCTCAGGAGCTCCACGTCGCTCCACCCGACTGACGTCCGAAAGAACGGTCGGTGATCGGCGGAGGTGGAGGGTGACAATGGGCGCTTGAGCGTCGACTCGCGCTCCTTCGGTGCGGTGCCCTCTGGACTGCTGGAAGGCTTGGTCCTCTCAGTGGCCGCATGGCAGCAAGGGGACGAAACGCCGGAAACGCCGTTGGCCGTTGAGCGGCTCCTGTCGTGGTGGGGAAAAGCAAATGTTTCGGATGACATGAGAAATTGGGATCAAACATGGACTGCTGTGAAGCCCTTCATACCTGTGTGAGTATACATGCGTTTGAGGTTTTTCAGCACTAGCATTCACTTCTGAGGCGACTTTTGGATTTTAGATGTGTGTGGCAAGTGACGTGACAAACTTGCGTATTTCAACGCATACACAAGAAAGGGGTCCACGATGAAGAAAGAATCCAGTTGAGGGCATGAGGGTGTGGCCACGCATGCTCGGGCGCCAGCTTTTGCCTTCCATGGCTTGACCAATGCACTTTGCTGCACGGCTCTTGGGTTTTGGGGATTATAATAGCAGAACGCAATGGGCCTCGCAGAACATTGTTTGGTGTGGGAACGCTACTGCAAGTAATACTGCCAAGCACCCCTGGCGCCGCGCTGGCACATCTGATATTTCCCAAGTGAACCTGTGGTTTTTCTGTTGGACCTTTTGATAAGCAAGTTCAAGAGCACCGTTCCTTTTTTTTTTGTGAACCTGAAGGGGCTTTTCCTCCTTTTGTTGTGGAGGTCTGGCCCTTCTGGCGTGCACGTTGGCTGGAAGAGATGGCTTCTTGGCGCAAGTTTTGGCGCTGCATTCGGCCCCAGACATGGTGTGCACTACACCCAAAGAGGGTCAAGAGACCTGTCTTCTTCATTTGTCTCTTCATCATCTTCATCCCTCACAGGATTCGGATGGCTCTTTTCTTCACCGACAATGACTGAGTGCAGATGTTCCCAAATCCCGAGACGAGACCTCTGAGGTTGAAGACCAATCTCCAGAGGTGCCGTGCAGGGCAGAGCTCATGCAGTTTGGACGTTCTTTTGAAGGATGATTCCGAAATGGCTCGTTGCCAGGAGCGGATGAGGGTCATGGCGCGGAGCTGAGGGGAAAGCTTCAAGGGGGAGCTTCTTTTCCAAGATTTGTGTTGCTTCTTGTTTTGCAGCTATTTTGCCTCCGAGGTCACCTCACATCTATCTTCAGGCTCTTTTTTCTGTGCCAAATCTGCTTCGGATTCACGTCTTGCATGCATCTCTAAGCTCACAGGACATGTTTAAAGGCCCAACAGAATTGATTGATGAAGAATAATGTATGCGGATATATGGGCAGGTGTGATTTCGGAGTAAGGGTTGTTGTCTTTCTATGCAGCGAGGGGTTTCGCCACCGCCCTGGTGGTGGCAGTGGCGGTTCCATTGCGATGCCGTGTGGGGCGATGCTGTCTCAACATGTGAACCGTTGATATCACGTCTCTTTGCATCGAAGACGTGCCGGAGGGACCAAGGGACCCTTCCTTCTCCTCTTAGATCTCACGTGAGAAAAATTCATCATTCAATTCAGGGACCCTTCCTTTTCTCCTTTCAGATCTTTCTCTTTCCCTTTCCGTTTCTCTCCCTTCTTCTTTCACTGGAGCCCTCAGACCTGGTGGCATTCCCACTGAGTTCGTGTTTCGTAGTGGGCATGTGACCCCTTTGCCTTGTCACGGGAGCCTGTCTACCGAACGGATGGATGTATGGAAAAAACCATCCGCATATAAAAAGACCTGTCCCCTTCTCCCCAGCATGAAAAAAGACTTGGCCGCGCAAAAAAGAAACCACCACCCCTCGCAAGAGGAGGCCCCCAGCACAAAAAAGTAACCATTAGAACCGCCCGCATAAAAAACCATCAACCCCGAGCCGTCCGCGCAAAAAGAAACCGTCCGCGTACAAAAGGAATTGTCCGCATGAAGAAGGAAGACACCCCAGCCACCAAGCAGATGAAGAGGAAACCTTAGAGCCCCCCAGCATGGAAAAAGAGACTTGTCCGCATAAAAAGAACACACCCAGCATGAAAAACAATAAACTTTGGAACCGCCTGCATGAAAAAAGAACCTGTCACCCCGCCACAAGAGGAAGGAAGAACATCACCAACATAACGCCGTCCGCGCAAAAAAGAGCCGTCCGCGCAAAAAGGAACTTTCCGCATAAAGAAAAAAGCACAACCTAGCCACTAGCAGAAGAAAAGGCCACATTACAGCCCCGAGGAAAAGAACAAAAATATGTCTGGATATACAAAGAACCCACCAACCCCCACAAGAGGAGGCCATCAGCATAAAAAGAACCGATAGAATCTCCCAGCATGAAAAACACTAGTCCGCGTGAAAAAGGAGCCCACCAACCCCCGCAAGAAAAGCGAGGAAGAGGAAGGAACTCCCGCAAGAGGAGGGCAATGAAGAACATGGCGACGGCAAAATTCAAAAATCAATAAAAGGATATCCCGAATTGGAAATAGAAAATGACGGCAAACCATATTGAATCCCCCACCATAAAATACATATATCGTCGCATAAAGGAATATCCATACAAAAGGAACCCTCCCACCTGCAATAAAACAATAACTATTAAAACCCAAACAACAAAAATAAATACAAATATTAAAAAGAATTCCCGCCACATAAAAAACAATAATTCTGCACATAAAAAAGAAATTACCCGCAATAACTTCACTATAAAACTTTGGAATTTATCTATATATATGGAGAGATTTTGAATGCAGGTGGAACTATCGACGATGATGATGAATAAATATGTATATATATATATTTCAATTTGAATATACTATTTGATGTTTTTTTGAATTATATTATATAATTCTATAATGTAAATGATAATTTATAGGATTTATATATATATATATTGTTTTTTTGAATATGTTTATTTTATTGGAATTATATATATATATATTTATTTTTATTTATGAAAGAGGGTAAAAAGATTTATATAGGATTATATTTATTTTTGGATATTTTTATTGGATATATACAAATAAATATAGATATTGATATAATGTATTTAGGATATATGGATATTCCTGAATAATGATTGTTATGGGAAAATTATTTTTTTTTTTTTTTTTTTTTTTTTTTTTTGATTGATAATATGGGGCTGTAAAATTATTTTGGCGGATCGATGAGGATTAATATTTTGGAAAATAATGAATATTTGAATATAAATAGAATTTTATTTTTGAATGTGTAGCGAAGGGTGCCCGTTTAGGTTTGGGGGCAGGGCTTTGTTTACGAATCATCTTTATATGTACGTAACCATTCGACGCCGTTCGCCGTCGAAATTCGCATTGCCATTGGGGGGCGCTATTGGTAATGATTTGTCGTGAATGTATGACGTATTAGATTGCGACGTTATTACGTTGTAATTTGATTGTAATAGACGTTTTCGCTCCATAGGGACAGCATTTGGTGAGATTTGTAGATTGTTGCGCAGTGCCATTGGGATTCGTGTTTGGAAAATGGTATTTTTGGGGTGTTGGATATGACTATACCGTTGGAATTTATGTTTTAGGGTGTGACATCGAAGTTTTATTTTCGTGATAAGTTTTAGCTGAAGTGCCGATTTTGGTGGATGGGAGTGTGCTTAGAGGATCGAAATCATTCGATACGTGTGGTGTGGTGTAAATTTTGTTGAAGCTCATATGAGATGACATTCTTACTTTTCGTGGCAGGCGCAGGACTTTGTGCGGATTTTGAGGTGTGGAAGTGGGATTTTCTTTCGTGGCACGCATAGGGAATCGTGAGGTTGCGATATGAGACGGAGGTGACATCTCGTAATAGGCACAGTACTTTGTGCGCGTTAGAAGTGTGGACGCGGAAAGATTCGCGGCAGGTGCAGGGAATGTCGCTGTCACATTGGGATTGGCATGTGAGCGGGTGTCGTTTGGAGGGGTTGGAATCGCGAAACTGCTTGGCAGGGTTGCGTGATGTATGGGCTCCGATGGGTGTTTCCGCTGGACTTTTGGAGGAAATCTCGTGCGAAACGTTCGTTTTGCAGACTTTGACATGGGAATTTTTGAGGAAGTTTCGCACGAAACACTCGTTTTGGGGACTTGATATGTGACTTTTGGAGGAAGTCTCATACGAAACGCTCGTTTTGGAGACTTGACGTG